TTCTTTTGTTGGAAATAAGAGGAAAATGACATCTTTGTGCCCAAAAGAGGCTATTCTGTGCATCACTTTTCTTTCATTCATCTCTGTAGATATGACAAAGGTAAGTGCTTTCATCTGTCCTTATTTACAAACTGGTGAACTGAGAAGCAGGTGAGTTGTTTAGAATAGGATGATTTGAATGATGTCACAATTCTGACACTATTAAAAATCTTTCATTTTGTAGATGTTTATCTCTGCCTTTAAATCCCTTTTAATTCCCTTTTTCCTGTGTTAGATATTTCTTTTCATAGAATGAAAGCAAAATAAGCTACTCTTAAAATGTAGAATACGTTATTGATGTAATTGATGGTATTGTTATTATTTCCAGCATTATTCTTCAATTCATCCTTAATACAGCTTGACATCTTGTTTGCTTTTTTTGACCACTGCTGTGCACTGAGCAGAAGTTTCCATTAAGCTGTTCACAGTAACGCCTAGATCTTTTCTTGAGTGATTTTGCAAACCATCAGTGTATATGAATAGTTCAAGTTGTTCCTTTCATTACACATTACTTCACGCTTACCTACATAAAATTTCTGCTGCCATCTTGTTTCCCAGGCCCTTATTTTTTTTTATTTTTTAAGTATTGCTTTTTCTTGCTGCTTTGACACTGAGGGAAGAGCTTGTGTGGGTCTCAGACTGCTTTAGCAAATGAAAATGAGAAATGGAGAGGGCCTGGAGGATGCAGTTCTTAGTGTGCACCAGGCCATCCACCCTTGCTGTGGATGCAATCTGGGAAGTGGATGTGTGTGGTAAAAAGCACCAAGAATGAACAGCTGAACTGCCGAATAAAGCTTTAGAAGAGCTGCTCTGTGTCCAGTTGAATCAGAAATACAGTTTTCAAAAAGCTGTTCATAGTTAAGCTAATTAGAGCATTCTGGAATGTTTATTCTGCTCTGTGCAATTTACCACAGCAGCAGTGAACTGTTTGGGGTATGGCAGCTGGCTTTATTTCAGCAGATAATACTCTTGCAACCAGTTTGAGAAGCTATGTTTCTGTTCAGTTGTTTCTTCTGAAAAGCGTGCCCGTTCATTCATATTACATTCATGTCTTTCTGGTTTGGAAGAATGTAATGTAACAATTGGTAAAATTGGATAAAATAGATTTGCCACCTTAATGGTTTGTTTTCTTTCCCCCAAGTGAAGCTATTGATGATAACTCCCAAGGTGATGCCCTGATTGCTCTCAAAGTACAAATGTGACATAGACAATGAATTCACAGCCTTTAAACACAACATTTTGTATTCCATGAGCAGTGGCTTTACCTTATCAGGATCTGTTTGCAGTAATGGGAACTATATGTTCAAACTATATTTAACTGTTTCGAAGATTTATTTATTTACTAATCTTGAAAACAGTCTTTCAAGTGAACATTTTTAACTTTGATCAACAAGGGAGAAAATTATCAACACAAAACTTCACAGTCACTGAAAGAATATAACTGTTATATAATTACAAGCTTTATTTGACCAATAAATTGGAAATATGACTCTTTATTGCTTATTTCTGTAGAGAAAATAATATCTGTTCACCTGTAGAAGCTTAATGTTATCTTAGATTCTGCCCAGATAGCCCTACAAATTTAAAAACCATTCCGAACAGCTTTAGTTTGTTCTTGTTCTCTGTAGTTTTGGTTTCATGGATAAGTTTTCTATATTCTTTAAGAACTCTTTCACTACCAATTCAGTTTCACCTTCACTTTCCCACCCTCAGGAAGCATGTCGTGGCCAATAGTGCTGTTCATTGCAGGCATGAAAACTCCGCCTGATGAATACTCCTTTCATGGCATTTACGCAGGAGAATTGTCCTCAGTTAATTGCAGTGTTCCTTTAGAAAAATTGCCCTACCTCAGCACATTTAGATGTTCTGTGCTGTAGAATAACTTGAAACATAAATCATCATTCTGCATTTATACCAATTCTGACAACATCTTTCTTTACAACATGAAACTTGCATTATTATAGAAAACCTATAATTGCTATATGCTACTTGGGCTGACCAAAAAGCCTTCACCACTTGTACGTAACACTTCTAAAACCAAACAGCTGTGCTGTGTAACAGCCAATGGCTGGTAGAAATCAACATTGCCTTTTTTCTTTTTGTGATGAATGAATGTTCTGTTTTCAGACGTGGTCGCTTAGATGAAATGGTTATTCCCCAAATCCTTGTTAAGCTTATTTCATAGGAAGCAGGAATTTGTGTTGGTGTTTCTGAATTCTGTGTTAAGTCTGGTGTTCAGTAGAAACCATTCACAAGTCCCAAAGTGTGATGCTGTTTAAAGCACTTCAGGACAAAATTCCATAACCGCCTAACATGGCATTACCAGTTGATATGTACAGTTAGATATTAATTAGCATGGGACAAAGGAAAATGTTGAAATACGAGAACTTCTGGAAGCATCAAAATTCTCAATGAGCAGTGAGAACAATAAGCTGTGTTCTACAGGAGGTCATGTACTGCAATTATTGAAATAGCTCTCTGAATTGCTTTTAAACAAGTAGTTACTTGTGTATGAAAAAGGAATGTGGGGAAAAGAAAACTGATTGAGAGAACTTTTGTCATGATGGAAGTTAGCAATTTTGTTGTTAATTAAGCATGCAAAATTTGGTGTGATCTGACAGCATACATACGCAGAAATATTTTACAGTACATTTTAGAATTCCAGGACATTTATGAACAATAACAACATTTTCTTTGCAATATTTCTGTGGTGTTCTTATAAGCACCTACAAAACATCCACAAAGCTGTTTCCAGTATTTTCTCTAGGGAAGAATTATGCCCACGTATCAGACAGGAACACTGATGCATAGACATGGTAAATGAGAGGTGAAGATGTGTGTGACATAGGTATGACCAAGTGTGGAATAGAATCCTGTTACCTGTATTAGTTGGGGAAATGGAAGGGGTTTTCAATTTGCTTGAAAGAGTGACTGTAGATTCAGTGATCAAATGCAGAGGATTCTTGGCCTTCAATAGTCTCTTTATTCTTCATCTACTGTGATCGACAATCCAAGATGGTGCCACGAAAGCAAAAGGCACTTACAGTATGTTGCCTGAGATCTATCAATTTACCATGCATGTGGAATACTAGTCCATCCCTGTTTTTTTGTAAGATTTAAGGTTTACTATTTTATTATGGTTTATTATTTTATTTCTGTCTCTTCTATATCCTGAAGTAACAACCGAGCAGTTGTTTGGGGAAAAGTTTAAGGTTCATCAGGTGTAAGCATGAATTTGTTAAGCCATGCAGCTCTGTTCTCTGAGTGACTGCCTCATCCTCTGCTGCTCATCTCTCGGCTCGCCGAAGATGTTACAGCTGGCCATTTTCTTCAAGAATTCAGTAGGCTGGGGTGAACTGTTGTTTGCAGTTTTATTCCCCAGTCTCCCATTTTATCCTGCTTGGCTTCCCCTCTCCAGACAACAGGTTGGAACACAGTCGTTAGTTCTTTTTCAAATTATCCATTCTGTGAAAGAATTTGAGTGCTGATGGATTCTACTGTACCTGCTTGGGGCTTCAGATGCCACAAGAGATGGGGGAAAAAAGAAAATGAGATCCTGATTTTTTATTTCAGGTCCAAAATATTTTATTGGCCGTAACTGTTTCTTTTCAATATGGTCAGTCTTGCCAGAATTCCATGTTTGATCCAAAGTTGACATTTCAATAAGAAAGTTTTGAAGAACAAATTTTGTCTGCCCTTTTGGCAGCAAATTCAGGAAACACAACAAATATATTAGGGCTTTATCACGGCATTTAAACCACTAAGATTAAAGGTCACTTTTGTTTAATTACAATTATTGAGCACACAGACTGTCTACTCAGTGTGTCAACATGTTCTAAAGAGACTGGTTTAGGAGGAACAAAGAGCTCAACCTCATACACTGGCCTGTCTCTGGGCAACTTCTCAGCCTCAAGTAGAACCTGAGGTCAGCTGGATTTGTGCAGCAAGCACAAAGGGGGAAGGGATGGAAAAAAAGGGGGACAAGGTGAAAGCATAAAGTGTAGCAAGAATGTTATTCTGGATTAACAGATGATGTGAAGTCATTTATAAGCAGGCTTGAATATTAATATACCCAGGACCACTCAAAATTGTGCTGAAAGAACCAATTATTTCAGGTAGTTTCAAAAGAAACCAGTTAATATTTTTAGCTGAGGAGAGATAGGTCTCTTTCATGCACTGAGCTACGTGCTATTGCTGTGTCAGCTTTAAAGTATTCAGTATGGGTTTTTGTGTCTAATGCTAATTCATTTCTATTTTTATAAATCTATGTATATATATACACGTGTATGTATATACATTTATATGCAAAATACAATTATTTTCACGTTCAGTTAAATTCACTGGCTGCTTGCAAGACTATAATACATCTTGGGTGTTCTGGCTGAACTGGTGCTGCCAAAACTGTCAGCAGAAAGACCGGAAAGTCTGATGAACCTTAAACTTTTCCCCAAACAACTGCTCGGTTGTTTCTTCAGGATACAGAAGAGACAGAAAGCCCAGGCAAGAGAGGAATGGTTGAAAACCAGGGAGGAAGGATAGAAATTGCTATCCAATATGGATTTCACAAACTGCTGTGTTTCATTTTTTATAAACAATAATAATAATCTGTGCTAAATTGCATTTTAGAAGTTTTAAGCTTTATTAAAATGTTGCTTATAAAAAAAGATAACTCCAGCTTTTTTCAGATCAGTGCTTATTCACTAGTTTCTTGCTTTCATTCTGCTTGGGATGTAATGGTTTTATGCATTTTATTTGAAACATTCTCAGAAACAGCTACGTGCCATTATTGAAAGGGATTTTCATAGTCAGATGGAGATCTTCACAGGCATGCATCACCTAAGTGCTAACAGTTTTTACTCAAACAAGACAAAGAAACAGCACTCCAGTTTCTCAGGACTGGTGCCACTTCTGGACTTAAGCTAAAAGCTGGTTAGTTATTTTTATTTGATACGCCATATAATTAAATAACTAAATATATATAGAAAAATAAATACTGGCACATATAATTCTTATTTCCCAACGTGGGTTTGTCAGACCCACAGGGACAGCGCTGTGGTTTGTGGGCTCTTCTCCTAGCAACTCCTATTAACGTCAGACTCACTTGGGCAGCTGCATCTTTGTACCCCACACCGAGAGTTTACTACTTGGCGCTGTTTTATGTGTAGATTTCACGTGCCTGTATCTCTGGTTATTTGCACCAGGTCTACTTCAATTTCCTGTCATCATTCAACCACTTTTAATAACAGCTTTAGGCTATTGCATAGTGAATGTCTCTGCCTTAGTTGTTCGTATTTGGAAAAAAGATGAAGATACGGTCCCTGCCCCAAGGAACCTATAATTAAAACAAGACCAGCATTATAGAAACATATATACTAGCTGGCCTGCAACTGGATGGTCTGTTTCATTTTGTTTTGACGTACCACACAAGGCAGCGTTTAGCAGATGTTGGGAAATGAGCTCTCCGAGTTTTTCATATAAACATACAGCAGAGATGTAAGGATATGAATTAATTTCATCAGCAAATGTGGATATTAATGTCATCAGGCATTTTCTAATGTTTGTGCCTATTCTGTTGCACTTTGAGTCCTTCTGGACAAAAACATGGAAACATCTTGAGAGATACCTAATCTAATCGGATATCTATCTGGCAATGCTTTCTAGCATAGCACTGATGTTTTGTTCTCTTGTATTAAAGGTGCTGCTTTGTGCCAGCCTACCAACCAAAAGAAATAAAAGAAGAAGAAGAAAAGGGTGTAAACTCATCACAGACCCTCCATACACAAGGCTGATGATAAAACAGAAGGTGAGGGGGAGGGCAACACCTGGGCCAAAGCCTATAACTTTTGAGAAATGGAGCTGACAAAATGATACAAAGATTTCTTAAGTTCCACCTGTGTTTGATGTCTTTCATATTTTTTATTCAATGTATTTTTCTTCTGTAGTCTTCCTAGCTGAGTTTTCATACATCTAAGTGTCTCCAAAGAAGATTTTAGAGGGATGTTTCCCCACCCCAAATTGCAGTGGTTGTGCAATATTAATTTAGGGTGAATGGGCACAGATGTTATCAAAATCACCCTCTCACCTGTCAACTCCACCCAAGTTTCCAGTGCTCGGATATTTTCTTCCACTGCTATGTGGAATTTCTAATTTTAATAGTCTTTTTTTTTTTTTCCCCTTCAGATGTTTTATCCAGTTACAAAGCCTGCACGTGGCTTCCTCCTCTGATGAGCTGGCTGAGCCAAAACAGTACCTCACTAAATAGAAATAGCAGCCTCTGAAGGTACTGATGGGTACAGAGTGAAAGAGTGGGGTCTTGGTCTGAACGCTACAAGAGGACATCATAGCCATTGCAAATCAGTAAGGTTGAACAATATGACAAGGCAGAGGAGAAGTGATTTGATGAGAAATGTGAGTCGAGTGAATGTGCAAAAATGCAGGGAAAGTGAAAAGGCAGATGGATAGTGGATTTTTATTTTCCAGCGTTACCTCTGTGTCAGTTAACTATCAGTTAACTGTCTTTGTTGACTCTTTGAGTTCTCTACCTCTTCTTTATTTCAATAATATGGATGCTCGCATGCATCCAAACAGCAAAACATACAGATGTGAATTCTCCCTGTACCTCCAAAATGCTATATTAGCACAGCACTAAATCTGAAATAACGCACCCTGCCTCTCAACAGAAACTAAGGATCAGCTTCATGCTAATGGCTTTTGAGCTGCCTGAAAGTGAGTTTTATCTGCCCACAATGTACTTTGTAGATCTATCCTCATTGGGTCTAATTTGGAAGAAGCAATAAAGCTTTCCTAATGCACGATTTTGCTTTTTGTTGGTATATGTCAGAGTGCTTTACAAATGAGGCGAGCGTCACTGTCTGTAGTTCTTGGGTTGCAAAACTGGAACAATCAAAATATAACACGCACCCTTAGTTTGCACAATGACATGGTTCAGATCTCCATTACCCTATCAATTAGACCCTACTGTGTCTCTAAGTGGCAGTCACTGGAGTGTTTAAGTTCTGAGTTAATATTCAGTCCATATTAAAACCTGTGATTAGCAATAAATGTCCCACAACTGTCAAATTAGAAACACTGCAGTGTATTCATTGAGCCTGCATTTTTCTAGTTTACTGCCTACAAAATCAACATAGAATTATGTCAGTCTATTATGAAAATGTGTGGAATCTTAACCTCTGTAAACTGGGGTAAGTAGTAACAGTGTCACTATAAAAATACACATCATTTACTGCACATCAAGTTTCCTATCTTTACAGAGAAACTGAATGAAAAAGTTCCTAAAGTATGTTTTGGTTACAAATTAATATTCCAATTAGTTTTGTTTAAGAAATTGATAGCACACAATGCACAATGTTGTACATTATTCTGTCTACATTTGTTGCTTAAACTGATTTTATTTTCTAAAAAGACAAGAAAACATTGCTCACACCTCATAGCCCAGAATTTGAGCTTGATTCAATCTGGTTCTTTAGTGCCATTGTATCAGGGACTCAATTGAATGTAAATGATTCAGGTTAACACATGTAGCAATAATCCTGCTGGCAATAATCACAGTGTTTAAAAGAATGTGGTGCCATCTTGTGGACTATATTAAGAAGTGTTAAAAAAAAAGTTGCAAAAGAAAAATATATATATATAAGCTCTGAAAAATCTGTGGTTTTAAAATTGTATTAGAACAAAAGCATCAGGAATTGTTGATTCAATCCTGTTCATTTTCCAACAGTGCAGGAAGTCCTTTCCCCTTTCTCATGATAGAGTGTGGAACAAGCTCAACCACCTAATTTCTTTCTACCAATCTTTAGATGTCAAAGCATTATATGATAGCTTGCATAAGTTTGGTCTTTACTGTTTTGGAAAATGTATGCTCACTCTTTTCAAAATGGTGGCACTGATTTGGGTTAGGAAGCATTGGTTAAATACACCCTGAAGGCCAATAATTGAGTGCAATTCAATTCACTATGTTCCAACACACAGAGCACGTGAAAGTAGGAAAATGAGCTTTTCTTGATTCATGAGCTTTTTGATGTTGTGCATCAGTGTGTATTAGTCATCTTTTTGCCATCCACATATGATGAATTAACGAGATTATATAAAATTATTAATGGTAGATTTTCATATCTCTTTTTAAAATAAACATTTCAAATGCTAAAATCTGAAAATCAGAAAAATAAGAATCAGAATGTAAGCAATCTCTGTCAGTTGTAATCTGGGATTTTTACGTTCTTCGTCTCTTCATGAAACTCATTCTTTCCTGTTCCTCCTGGCTGAGGTTCAGGTCTATCGAGCATTGTACCACCCTCATCACCAGGATTTCCTGTAACTATCACCCAGTAATTCTTGTCTTCTTCAACTCGATGGGAGTCCAGGTAAGTGTGACAAATTACTTCATATTCCCTTCCAAAATAAGACCTGCAAAGTCAAAGAAAAGGGTGGGGAGGCAGGGCGTAGAATGAATATGTATGCATTCAGCAAGTCTGCATTAGATGTTGAAGGTTTTCTCATGAAGATGACTCTGGCTACTTAAAAACCATTGCAATCTTTCAGCCTTACAGAACTTTTTCATCCTAAAAAACTGATACAAAATCACAGTAAAATTTAGCCTGAAATGTAATGAGAAGCAATTGGTGTACTCCTTAATAATACTTAATCAACATTATTTCAATACATGCATGTTAAGTCAAATTGTTGAAGTAACATGAATTTGTTATGAGATTCATATGGATATAAGAAATACAATTTTGTGTGGTGTGTTTCTGCTGAGTTCTTAACATGCCAATTTTTCCTTAAAATATATACATATATATATAATTGCTCAGGATATTCAAAGGGAGAACTACCAAGACACTGCAGAAGGCTGGGAGCATGATGTGATTATATAAAGGAAAAAAAAGGAAAGAAAAAAGTAATAAGACAAAGCTGTTTGCTTGCAGCATCATAACAGAACAATTAAAATGGGGAAAAAAAAGAATGTGCATCCTGCATTCTTTTCCATTTCTTCAGTGTGTTCCTGAAGCAATTATGTTACTTTTTTTTAGTGATTTCTGGATGCACTGAGCTGATGTCTCATTAAGCATATCATTGCCAGTTATAAATTATTCTCACCTTGTCCAAAAGTTCCTTGGAACAGCTAAACTTCTATTAGTATGGCAATGAGTAATAATCAGTTTAGAGTTTGCCTGGGAAAAAGAAAAGGAAACATAAACAAAAAAAAACAAAATACACACACAAAAAGATTACACTTGATAGATATTTTAAACTAATTTTAACAATACTTATTCAAGGTGAATGCTTTAATTACTACTGAATATAAGTATGCATGGCTCTGTATCACTCTCAGAATGCTATAGATTGATAGTGAGATATTTTGTACTGTCAGCTCTCAGAATGATTATATCCGTGATATTTTGTTATATGCCCAGCACTTCATGAAGCCTACTTGTTATGTGGAATAGGAAAATACTGCAACTGCTTCAACTTAAAGAAACATATTTGGAAAAGCACCCATTTTTTCCAATGCCTTGATTCACAGAATCATGAGGTCCCACGAGGGACCTCTGAAAATCATCTAGTTCAACCCTCCTGATAAAGCAGGTTCCCTGCAGTAGGTTACAAGTAGGTTAGAGGATCAGTTCCCTCTGTGTGAAATGAAGTTATTCCCAGATATTGATACATTAAGCAGCATATTCCCACCTGCTTCTCTCAGCAAAACTACTGCAGGTAGATGGATGTAAAAGATGTCTAATGGAAAAAAAAGAATGAATTCAACCAGTGTCTGCAGCACAGATATGTTGTTTACAATGGAAATAAATGATAGGGGAAGGAATGTGAACATCATAGTCTTCAAATATAAAAGATAAAGCCTGATAAATGGTTCTTCTGTTTCAGTCTACTTTGACAATTAAATACTCAATACTTTTATTTCCATTTTAATGACTTACAGGAACGGGAAATCCTTCATACTCAAGACGCAGTTGTGGATCCAAGAAGGTTGCTTGCCAGCACGTCAAATAGGAAAGCTCATCTGTCAAAAATACTTGCTGAAGGTAAGATTTTTTGGCAAACCTCATAAATGATTTATGGTCACTTGCTAGATATAACTGTAGATTAAAATATACATGAAGGACCATATAAATACAGAAGGAAAAGACATGTAATTTAAATAAGAAAAACCAGCACAAAAAATTCTCTTTGCTTCTGAACAGTCTGCCAAGCTAAAGTGATGCATTTTGAAACAGTGAAATAGATTCTATAATGTCGATAAATTCATGAAGTAGACCAGTGAATATTAATTGAAAATTGATTTTACATTCCAAAGACACCTTCAGATCCAAGCAACAGCTGAGAGGGAAAATTTTATCATAGTTGATGTGATTTATTCTGAGTATCAAGTGTCTGCTTTTCTTCTGACTTGTAAAGGGAAACAATGTTCACATTTAATAGAAATCTCCCCCTGGTTTGTTACTTCATACACAGACTGTATTTTTTCTTCATAAGAAAGGAAATTTTCTTCTTGGATTTTTTTTTGTCCTTTTTCTTTTTTGTTTTCTTTTTTTTTTTCTTGCTTAAAATCTGCATTACCCATCATTCTGGGTCACTGTCCCTTGGGACTGCACAACTGATCTCAGACAAGTCCCATAGACTTTGTAAATACATATTGTTTATATTGATTTGCAAATTATTCTGAATCTGTTCTGTAAAGCTAAGACACTGAACCACTGTGCAGTTTGATATATATAGTACTAAATGCACACTATCAGTACATGCCATCAATTGCCATTTGCAACTTTGTTCCCTTACCATTGGATCAGAAAACCCTCCTGTTGTTCCAAGACCAAACTTTTGCCCAAATTTAAGAGGTTCACCCACCGATTCTCCATCAACACTGTTAAAATTGTAAAGAGAACAATGAGAAATTCAAATGTATCAGATTTTCTAGACTTTTTTAATTTCATGTTTACTGAAATGATGTTTCACAAATTACTTTTGTGTTCACACTTAATTATAAGCACCTGAAAATTCAGGGACTAGAAGCAGAACAGGGTTTGCCTGTTGCTTAACATCATATGGTGTTAATTACACGTTGATATTTAGTAATCGGGTTTATTACATCAATGTACATGCTGATATAACTATATTTTCAGAATGATTTCTGTATTTTAAATTAAAGGATCACTGAATTAAATGCCAGGCTGTTCTAAGTATAGTCAGAGTGACTTATGTAGCTGATAAAACCTGTGGTCAGCTAATGAGAGCCCTCAAAGTGTTTGGTGTCAGTGACTAAAGGATCAGACAGAAGCTGAGCAAAAATACTTTGGTTGCATTTCTAGAATTGACTTCAAAGTTCTTTATTGTGTCTAACCCAAAGCATTTTGCTCAGTCAGGGTTAGTTTGTACACTTGTGCACTGTTGTTATACTTAAATACACGCACTAAGGCAGAGCCTTCCACTGTTGAGCAGGGACTTGTTCTGTTACTTCTCCCACAAGCAGCTGGAGTTAAATGTGTCCTTGAGAGAGAACACTCTGTTTGATGGAGGGGTCTTTTTTAGGACAACTGAAGCACTGTCCACTTTGACTCAAATTTCTGCTTCAGAGACATTGTTTGCACAAGAACAAACAGTATTACTGATATGTGGATGTGTTTGTATACAGGTGAAATAAGACCAGGTTAAAAACAGAGTTTTTAACACAAAGTTTACCAAATGATCCAGCGAACTGGATTCTGTTTTCACACTAGTTCTGTGCTGATTTAACCTGGCCTCACACGTGGCATCTACAACCTCAGTGGGCAGCCTGTTC